ACAAGAACAAACTGGGAGGAGGGTAGAGAGAATAGTGCAACAATGAATGAGTGGAAGCCCAAAATCTCTGTAAATGTTTATGAAAATTAATAAAATATAGGGCGAAAAAAAGGGTGCTGTCAGAAGACTCTGTGGGTAGAGGTCTGAGGGTGCAGTGTGGACAGTCTTTGGAGGAGATCCTGTGTGTTCTGGGAGAGGCAGTGGGGGTGCTCTTAGGGGAGGTGCCCTGATGGGGTCCCTGGAGAGGAGAGATCATGGTGGGGTGATGCGGGGGTGTGGTGTTCTCAGAGAATGTTCTGAGGCAGCTTTGTGAGTTCTGTATTGACCAGGTGTTCTGTGGGGCTGCTGGGGTGCCATTTGAGGAGGCGCACTGGGGTGCTTTGAGGAGAAAGATCTCCATGTCCACTCTACGAGCTGCTGGCTCTTGGTATGACCCGTACCGCCTGGCTCTTCTCTGGTCGGGGGGCAGATTGGGAGGACTCTTCCTGCAGTCGCTGGGAGGACTCGAGTCACCCTTCCAAGATATCCATTAGGAATCTATTTACTGGACCAGGGGTCCAAACCCCAGAAGCACCACCAGGTGACCAGCAGGGGTAACTGTGCCTCCAGAAGGCGCCCTGCACCCCGCACAGGCACGCAGGCAGTTTCCTGTGATGCAGGCCATGGAATCTGCAATCCAGGGCATCTTCAGGATGGGGTACAGATGAGGTCACTCTTGGGGTGTCGAAGGACAGCTGCGCCTCAAGTCTCTCCAGAGCTCCTCCTCTCCCCTTGCACAGGCTGCTCTCGATTTGCTGCGACTCCACTGATTCACCCCCGGGTCCACGCGTCCTGTGGAGGCCACTGTCCAGGGTGCCACTGGCGGGGTGTGGGGGGGTGAGTGGGTGCCGTCAGAGTTACCACTGGTGGTGTGGGGTGGTCAGAGGCACCAATGGGGGGTGTGGCGGTCGGAGGCACCACTGGGGGGTGTGGGGCAGTCGGAGGCACCACTGGTGGTGTGGGGTGGTCGGAGGCACCACTGGTGGTGTGGGGCAGTCGGAGGCACCACTGGTGGTGTGGGGTGGTCGGAGGCACCACTGGGGGGTGTGGTGGTCGGAGACACCAGGTGCTGCCTCAGGGGCAGCTGAGCCGCATGCGTCTCCAGAGCCCCCCACACAAGCAGTTTTTAATCCAGCGCTGCTCCCACTGCTTCACCGCCGTTGTCTTGTTTGGGGACTTGAGCATGGTCACACAGCCACACCTGCAGGGACGGCCAACAGGTGAGGATGATGGGCTGCAGGACGTCTGCTCAGCGCCCACGCCCCGCACACTCCTACAAAACGCAGCGCCCTGCACGGTCAGCCAGCCCGTGCTGACTCGGAGTCCTCAGAGGCCTGCAGCCCAGGGGTCATCACCAGGCCCCTCCCCGATAAGGCAGCTCTGGTCTCGGACGTGAACCAGATTCTACTCAGGTGATTCTGTGGCTTCGTGACCTCAGCTTCCACACTCATCAACAGCCAGTATCCCCGGAGAACTGAGGTGTGGACGGGCGTTGGGGGGCAGTGTGGGGGTAGGGCTCACCGGGTGCAGGCCTTGCATTCCTCAGTAGGGTAGGCCCCCAGGTGCAGCCGGCGGAGGTGGTCAATCTTGGGCTGGCCTGGTGCCCTGGGCAGACAAGAGAGAGGGCAGCGTGAGGGAGGCTGTAGCTGCTACAGGGGGGTGTGCTGAGCTGGTCCTCCCTGCACACTGGGTGCCCCAGGGGCTGCAACGCCCTGTCAGGGGGCCAGCCGTCCTTCCGTACACTGTCTGGAGGTCTCACGGGGACCCCAGACAAGAGGACTGCTACAGAGGCTGAGAAAGCCGAGACATGAAGGCAGGAGCCGGGGCGCCCGGCACATGGGGAGAACCGTGCACAGCCCCCAGTGTGGGGTGTGGCAGGAAGACCGAGGCCCGGGGCAGGCCGGCACCCACCTGGAGAGGCCATCCAGAGGGGACGCGCTGCCGCCTGGCAGTGTGGGCGCCCGGCCAAAGCACAGGCGCAGGGGCTGCCGGGGCTGCAGACGGCTGGACAGGCCGTCGTTCACGGGCAGCCAGTCCAGGGTGGGCAGCAGCAGCTGGCTGGGCAGCAGGCAGCACTCGTCCACCAGCGCCTCATCGGGCTCGCTCGTGGGACCTTCGTCTCGACCTGTGGGGGACAGGATGAGGGGGGCCATGCTCAGGGACCCTCAACAGTGCACTGCCCACTCCCAAGCCCAGGTCCAGTCCTGGCTCTTCGGGGTGACCTGGGCTGTTTGGCCCCCTCAAACCTCTCATCTGCCTCCCTTAAAAATGAGCCGGTGAGCTCTGCCCCGTCAGCCCCCACGGGCTGCACCCCTAGACTCACACAGCTTCCCACCAGCTTAGCCGTGCTCGGCACCCCATCTAGATACCAGGGAGGCAGCTGGACCCTAACTGAGCCACAGGACCTGGGGAGACTCCGTCTGGCACGATGGCCAGCAGGGCTTGTGTGCTGCCGGGGGACAGGACTGCCTTACAGCAGAGCCAGAGCTTGGTGAGCAAACGGAAGAGGAGCGACATGCTGTCCTGGGTGTCCGAGGTGGCCGTGTACACAGGCAGGCAGCTGGGCTTCAGCAGGCCCCAGATGCGGATGACCACCATGAGCTCACGCAGGATGCCCAGCGACGTGCCATCACGCAGGAAGCTGTGGCCAGGCCGCAGTGGGGAGCCCTGCAGGAGGTAGGGGGCAGTTATAGGGGAGCCAGCCTCGGCATTCAAGCCAGGTGATAGGGGATACCCTGGGGACACATGGCACTGAGCCGCGAGCGTCTGTGGTGTCAAATCTCGGAGCATCGTCCGATCCTGCCCGGGATGAGCCTGTGTCAGTGACACAGAGACAGAGACCCCAAGGTAAACCAGGGCCCAAAAGAATGGACAGCCAAGTTCCCACAGAACTACCAGCCACCCACAGCCTCAATCCCTCAGGGGCTCAGGACCACCAGACCCCAAGGACGAATTAAAGGTATAATGGGGCCAAGGAACAGGGGGACTGGAGCACAGGGGTGGCAGAGGAGGGGGTGGAGAAGCGGTGGGGGAAGGGGGCACAGGAACTGAGGGTGGAGGAAGGGGTGGCACAAAGGCTAGAGAAGACGGTAATGGAGGGACGTTGGGGGGACTCGGGGTGAGGAGATGGGTCAAGGTGTGCAGAAGGGACATGGCAGGTGGGCTGAGCAATGTGGGATCTGAAAAGTAAAGCAGAAGAAAGGTGAGTGGAGGAGTGGTGATCCTGCTGGGTGGGGTGGGGACACGGAAACCACAGAAGCAAGAATGGAGAGGTGGGCAGGTGGGCGAGCAGGGGGCAACTGGAGGGCCGGCAGGTGGGGCAGAGTCGAGGACTAGAGAGCAGGTGGGGGGCAGGTGTGGGCAGGGAGTGGGTAGGGAGGGGACAGGTGGGTGG